CACTACGCCACCGGCCCGTCTCTGACTCGTGCCCGGTCCGTCCTTCTCCGATCTGCACTGCCCTGCACCCCTCGGAGCTGCTCTCCACCGCACGGCACCGCAGTGCACCGCATTGCATCGCCCTGCACCACACTGCACCGCACTGCACTGCACTGCACCACCTTGCACCGCCCTGCACTGACTGCACCGCTCTGCATCGCTCCTGATGGCCGAGGTACTTTGCTTCGACGCTGAGGGTCAGCCGCTTGAGTTTGACGTGTGGCTGGTCGACCTCCGCCACCATCTCACTGGTCAGCGGCAGGATGGCCACTCGCTGTCTGTCCACCTTGACGGTACGCTCCCCTGCCCTGACCCCCCTGTTGCGCTGCCTGTTGACCCCTCGTTTGCTGAGCGTGAGTTCGCTGCCGCTGCTGCCCTTGCTCGCTCTGTCTGGCTGTCGCGTGACGCTGTTGCACAGCTTGCTATCAACCATGCCCTCCCACTATCTGAGCGCCCTCGCTTTAAGTCCGTCACGACTGTGCAGGCGTTCCTAGATACTGTTGTCCAGCGCTATTCCACCCCGCGTGCTGCCTCCGTAGGTCGCCTGATCCTGTCGATGCTTTTCCCTGACCTTGCGTCTTTCCTCACTGTCGCTGACCTTGCCGCCCACCTGCGTACGATAGACGCGACCTGGCGCTCTGCCTGCATCGAGACCTAGCTTAGAGCCCATCAGCCGCCCCTCTGCTCTGCCCTTTACCTGCTAGCCACCCGCCTCCCTGACTGTCTTGCCACTGCCCGTGACCGCTTCCTTAGCGTCCACCCTGGTGACCTCACCCTCATCGACTTTGTCGACACCCTGTCTGCCATAGAGATCCGCCACTGCTCTATCGCCCAAACTAGCGGTACTGTGCCGGTCCCCATCTTTCAGGGTTGTGCCCCTGCCCAGTGCACCTTCTCCGACGGTTCTGCTGCTGTGGCTGAGACTGCTGCTGCAGCGCAGTTCCGTCCGGGGAAGGGTCGCCGCCCCAAGGCTGGGCGCGGCGGAGGGGGTGGGGGTGCAGGTGGGGGTGGTAGTGGAGTCGGGGCGCCTGGTGGTGGCGCAGACGAGGGGATTGTCCGTGGTGACGCGGAGCAGCCGTCCCAGCAGCCACAGCCGTCGCAGCCGGACCAGCACCACCCGCAGCCACAGCCCCAGCTCCAGCCCCAGCAGTCACAGCAGCCGCAGCAGTCGCAGCAGCAGAGGCGGGCAAGTGGTCTCCCACCCGGGTGGCCTGGCGCTGGTGGCGGCGGTGGACGTGCGCGTGGTGTGCTCCCGGGTGGCAGTTCGGGTGACGGGCGCTGCCAGTACCAGCTCCTGACCGGTCCTCGCCGCGGCTCCGTGTGCGGTAAGACCGGTCACTCCTCTGTTCGCTGCTGCCGTCGCCTTGACGACCTGTTTTGCCTTCGCTTCGGCCCGTCACTCGACCTCCCTGACTGGTTCAGCTTGCTTCGCCGTAGTATTCCGATTTTTTATATGGACACGAATGAGCTTAGCTCTGCGCGGTATGTGCTGTATGCTGATGACTCTAGTGTGACTGGTTCTTACTACACCGTGTTGCCTAGTGTATGTGTGCCTAGTCTTGCCCCCCTTGCTGCTTCAGGCGTAGGACCTCCTGCCTTGTTTAGCCTAGGTTCCTCCGTCGCTGCTTCGACCCCGGCCGCCACTGCTGTGCTCACCTTCACCCTTGACTCTGGCGCTTCCCGGTGTTTCTTCCGCAACTCTACTGCACTGTCCCCGCTTGCTGCTCATGCTGCGGTTTCCCTTGCTGACCCCTCCTCCGGTCCGGTAGTCGCTCATAGTTCCACCGCCCTTCCCTACCCGGCGGCTCCTTTGGGCTCGCTCACAGGCTTGCACGTCCCATCATTTTCTAGGAACCTAGTTGGTGTTGGCTGCCTCCAGGACCTTGGCGTCACCACTACATTCCCAGGTCAAGAGTGGTTTGCTGTCTGTACTGAGGCCGCCACTGGTGCTCCCCTCGCTATGTTCCCCTGGGACCCGGTGTCTGGCCTGCTCACACTGGACACCGCACCCCCCCCGGTTCGGATGCCTCCCCAGGTAGCTGTGACGTCTCAGGTTGCAGCGGCCTGCTCGTGTCGGTCGCTTACTTACCCGACCCTCCTGTGGCACCACCGCCTAGGTCACCCTGCGCTCCCGCGTCCGTCACATGTCACAGCACGGTCTTGTCCTAGGTCTCCCAAGGTCGTTCCCCGAGTTGCCCCCCTCCACAACGCCACCGTGCACACCCTGCGTCGAGGGTCGGCTCCGCCGTGCCCCTTACTCCTCCTCGTTCCCCCCCACCGCCGCACCGCTACAGACCTTGCACATGGACGTCTGGGGCCCCGCCCCCATCCATGGACCGCGTCGCGAGCGCTACTTCCTTGTGCTTGTCGACGACTACACGCGCTACACCACGGTTTTTCCCCTGGAGCGGAAGGCCGACGTGCCTGACGTTCTTATCCCCTGGCTAGTCTCTGCGTGTGTCCACCGCGGTCTCCCTGTCCAGCGTCTTCACTGTGACCGTGGTGGCGAGTTTGCCTCCGGTGTCCTTGGTCGCTTCTGTCGTATGGAGGGCAGCACCCAGACGTTCACCCTGTCGGACTCGCCGCAGCAGAATGGGGCCGCTGAGCGACGCATCGGTTTGGTCATGGAGGTGGCTCGTACCTCCATGATCCACGCCGGTGCACCCCATTTTCTGTGGCTGTTCGCGGTTCGCTACGCTGCTCACCAGCTTAACGTGTGGCCGCACCCTCAGCGGCCGCAGGTTTCGCCGACCCTCCTTTGGACCGGGTCCCCTGGTGATGCGTCTGCGTTCCACGTCTGGGGCTGCCTTGCTCACGTTCGTGCCTCTAGCACGGACAAGCTTACTGCCCGCACCGTCCCCTGTGTCTTCCTTGGTTTCCCCCTTGACTCGTCCGACTGGCACTTCTACCAGCCGCCGTCCCACCGTTTCTTTCACTCCCGCGACGTTACTTTTGACGAGTCCGTTTTCTTCTACCACCGCTTTCCATACCGTGGTCCCCCGGTTACCTCCTCCCTGTTCCTAGTTCCCCCGTCCCTGGTAGCCCCAGCCCTGCCCCCCCCGCGTCCTGCCCCGTTCGGTGTGTCTCACGTCACTCCCCTCCCGTAGGTTGTCCCGGTTGAGGAGTCTGCTGACTTTGGTGGTCCTGCAGCCCAGTCCTTGCCGCCTGCCTCCCCCCTGGTGTCTTCTCCTCCTCCGCCGCAGCAGCAGTCATCGCCGCTGCCGCCGCCGTCGTCGTCGCCGCCGCAACCGCCGTCACTGCCGCAGCAGCCGTTCGTCGCCTCTGGTGGTGCTAGAGTTGGGAGTGGTACCGGTGCTGGCGAGCTTTCTGGCTCTGGGGGTGTTCGTGCCGGCCAGACCTCGCTCTTTGTTCGTGCCGGCCAGACTTCGTTCTACATCCTTGTCTACGTAGACGGCCTGGTCTTCGCCACAGCAGACAGGGACGCAATGGCCTCAATTAAGGCAGAGCTGCCGAAAGACACACCTACACTGATCTTGGAGAACTGCGCCACTACCTTGGCCTGCAAATCTCCAGGAACAGAGCAGCGCGCACCATCATCTTGACTCAGTCACACTTGGTGCGCCAGGTACTTCAGAAGTTTGGCCTTCAGTTCTCCTCCGCACAGCCCACTCCTCTGCCTCTAGACCACACGCTCTCCGCTCCAGTTCCTGAGGAGTCAGTAGAGCCCAGTGGTCCTTACGCACAGCTGGTGGGTTGCCTCATGTACCTGATGTCTTGCACTCGCCCAGATCTCGCATACCCTCTCAGCATCCTGGCTCGCTTTGTGGCCACAGGCAGACACCGACCGCAGCACTTGTCTGCCGCTAAGAGGGAGCGTTATCTTGCAAGTACATCTGGCATGGGGCTAGTGCTAGGAGGACGCAGGCCCGTGGTCCTTGCTGGACACACAGACGCTTCTTGGGCAGACGACGCCGAGACCCTCAGGTCCTCGCAGGGCTACTACTTTAGCCTTGGTTCAGGTGCCGTCTCGTGGAGAGCTACCCGCTCCTCATCTGTTGCCCAGTCCAACTGCGAGGCCGAGATCTACGCCGGTGCCATGGCGGCACAGGAGCTCCGCTGGCTGACCTTCTTGCTCACTGACTTAGGTGAGCGGCCTAGCTCTGCCCCGGTCCTGTACGCTGACAACATGGCCATGATCCTCCTGTGTCAGGAGCCTCGACTCGAGGGTAGAGCGAAGCACATCCAGCTGCGCTACTTCCTCCTGCGTGAGCTACAGCAGCGTCGCCAGGCTCGCGCAGTACACATGGCCTCCGGTGCCAACACAGCTGATATCTTTACGAAGGCGCTTACGCCTAAAGATCATTAGCGGCGTTGTTTACAGCTAGGTCTCGTTCCTGTAGTCTCTCACTTGCTAGGGCCTTGACTTTGTACTGTCCTTTATATATATTTTACCCTGACTGGCCTTGTGGCCTCTTCCCAGTGGCTGGACTAGTAGTGCCGCCCTAGTCTTGCCCTTGCCTTGTCTGTACACCTTTTGACTGGCCTTTAGACCCTTGTCTCAGAGGCTGGACTAGTAGTACTGCCTTGAGCTGCTTCTTCCATTGTCAGGCACTGCCCCTATATAGTCTAGGGGGTGTGTCAAACATAACTTATGTTGTTACTGTAGACTATACAGGTTTGTGCCTTAGAGGGTGCAGCACACTAGTCTATATTGTCCTGTATCTTCCTATTCTAGTCATTCTCTCTTTCTAACAACAGCACTCCTCCTTGTATCCCTATCTTTTTTTCTAGTTCTCTTTTCTCCCCTCAACTTTCCCTGGCCTAAAACCTCTCGCCATATCCATGGCTTCTCCTCCTACCTAGATCCTAGTTCTAGGACACCACCTTCCCCAGGGAGAATCCCCCCAATACCTTCCCTAGAAGAGAGAGAGGATTAGCAGGGTTATCCCAGTCCCACGACATACCCCCTCGCTGGGATAGTAAGTACACCAGGAAATGAACCCCGGATGGTTCTAATATCATGTCATTTAGTCACCAGTCTTAACTCTGGGACAAGGGATTACATCACGAGGGTTAGGGTCCATATATCCACTTTCCTCAGGCCTGATTAGTCACTTCAAAAAAAAAAAAGGCCTGACAAAACATGCCATGCCTCCAACCCAACCCTGAAAAACATAGGCTCTCACACGGGCGACCCTGAGCAATCAGAATCCCTAAAACCAATCTGAGGGCCTGGTCGGGATGCAATGGATCAGGAGCCCCGGTTGTGCCTGATAGAGCTCCATAGCCACAAATACTCGTCTGTCTACGATGCCTTGGATTTGAGCCACGCCACCATGTCATCACCATCCCGTGTCAGCCATGCAGCACGAGCCCTGATCGTCTCCAGCGTCCGGTCCAGCTCCATAGCTGCAGCCGGCACCGGATGGGCGGCAAAGAATGCCTCCGCATCACGAGCCTTGTCCTCAGTGGCAAAGCCCTTGAGGGGGAGAGCTGGGATGCGCTGCAAAAGCAGGAGGCAGAATCGGAAGGGAACAAAGCGAAAGAAGGGTTTGTGTCGTGAGCGTGACAGAGTCAAAATCCCGCAAACCCTGGGGGAGGGAGAGATGTGATGTGCTGTAGCTGCAGAGTATGGAGCAGAGAGGAGCAATTAAGAGTAGTGTGTTAGAATCTACGCAACCTCTCAAATGACAAATCTTATGGTTGATTGAAACATCGAGGCTCACCTTGGGAGGTGAAGACACGAAACGAAGCACCTACTGTGAGAGATCCTACTCGAAACTTTCAAGGAAAATGTCAGAGTATGCTGGATGGCCTCACGGTGAATAAGGCGGGGGCTGAGATGAATCGCGTGTGGATAGAATCAAAATGCTCCTTGAAATACTCCCATGCCTACTCACGGTTGTCAGCTTTACCCGCCATGGGCATGAAGACAATTGCAGAACCTAGTATACGAAATTCTACTTCGAGATTCTCGCTGGAAAGAAGGGCCTCACCGCGAATAGAGCCGGAGCCAAGACGAAGCGTGTGTGGATGGCATCAAAATGCTCCTTGAAATACTCCCATGCGTACTCGCGGTTGTCAGCATTACCCGCCATGGTCATAAACACAATGCTGCATGTGTGTGGGGTCGGACGGGGGACGGGGGGGGGGCACATGGCACGGTGGGGATGAATGAGTTAGTCGCTGAGGTGGCTCACCTTAAAGAGCGCAGCAGCAGAGGCGAAGCGGGCGTGGATGGTGTCGTAGTGCTCCTTGAAATAATCCCATGCGAATTCTCGATTGTCCGCATTGCCTGCCATGGTCATGAATACAATACTGCAACGGGGGGGGGGGGGGGGGAGCGGAGGTTGCGAGAGTGGATGGTGGCGTGCTATTCCTTGAAATATGCCCATGCGTATTCCCTGTTGTCCGCATTGCCTGCCATGGTCATCAACACAATGCTGTAAGGGGGGAGGGGAGCGGAGGGAGCGAGCGTGGATGGCGTCGTATTGCCTGCCAAGGTCATGAACACTAGGCTGTGGGCAATGGGGGTAAGGGGGGGGGGAACAGGGGAATATGAAGTGTCTCTTTCATAGTCCCACGCCAATTCAATGTTGTCTGCATTGCCTGGATGGTCTTGAATTCTAGGCTGCAGACGGTCGAAGAGGGGAGCAGCCAGCATGGTTGATGTCAGGCAACGGTTAAAACGAATGGCAGTTGAGAGATAAGGTGCCAGATCGTGTAGATCATGATAACACATGTAAAAAAACAGCAAAGTTACATTATACTTACTATTGGTCCTGGGCCTTCACTTCTGCTTCATCGAGCGCAAATGCGAGGAACTCCTTATAGAGGTCTCGGTTCTTCACAGAAGAAAGCGCTGCAAGACAGAGGACAGGAAGTTGTTGAGGAGGAGAGGAGAGGCGAAGGGTAAAAAACCCATTGAGGTCACGTTTCAGAGGAGAGCGCTGCAGAATCGGGCACCGGGATTAATTTCAAAAAGGGAAGAGAAGACAAGAAGGCAAGGAGAAAAGCCTGCGAGCGTTTACAGATGGTGCAATATTCTCAGGGGACAATGCTACCAAGCATGCGTTAGGAGGTTGTGAGTGCACATGATGTTATTGCTCAAGCAAGCACGCACCAACGAGGCAGTGAATCTTGAAGTCGGGAGAAGCAGCCTCCCCGTAGAGCTTCTTAGTGGCCTCCATCTCCTCCTTGCCTCCGTACTTCACAGCTATGGACATGACCAGACGGCGCAGGTCAGGGTTCACAGAACTGGAGACAGGGGGGGGGAGGGGGGGTAGTGTTGAGAGTGAGGGATTGTATCCGTGCGTGTGGCCCCCATCTCCTCCTTGCCTCCGTGCTTCACAGCTATGGACTCGACCAGACGGCGCAGGTCAGGGTTCACAGTGCTGGTGATTGGGGCAAGGGCAAGAGAACACAGGAGGGGATTATATCATGGGACGAGATTCTATGTTGTGGTGTGCGAGCACTATTCACTCACAAGACGTCGGCTGTGAGTTGCTTGAAGAGGTCCCGGCACAACGCGATGGATGGTGCTTGAATACACCATCGAGAGGCACCATTACCACGTGCAGCACATGCATGCACCATTCACATATGACACGTCAGCAGTGAGTTGCTTGAACAGCTCCTGGCACTTGGCGACAGTGGGGCATGCTAGAGGTGGCGTAAACATCTACGATACATTGGCCTTTGGAAACGACGACCATTCACTTACGAGACGTCGGCAGTGAGCTGCTTGAAGAGCTCCTGGCACTTGGCTATGGTTGGAGCGTGCTGGTAGCTGCCGAGCTTGCCCAGGACCAGAGGCCGCAGCATGGAGTCCAGGTGAGACTCGCTCTGCAGACAGGAGAAGAGGGGTTGCGAGGAGGCAGGCAGTCAAGGGAAGAACCAGAGAAGGGGGTTGGGGGAAAGGCGGGGCTGGTCTTGGCACTTGGCAGTCGTGGGGGCGTGCTGGTAGCTGCCTAGCTTGCCCAGGACCAGAGGCCGCAGCATGGAGTCCAGGTGAGACTCGTTCTGCCGTTTGGGGCGGGGGGTGGAGCTAGATACCAGACCAGGGGGGAGGGGGGTTTGGCACTTGGCAATGGTAGGGGCGTGCTAGTAGCTGCCTACATTGAGTCCAGGTGAGATGAGACTCGCTCTGCAGTACAGATGTGCATGTCTGTGTACATGCTCTACTCACCGGCTTGGGCTCCCACCCCAGCTTCTCAGCGATGGGGGTGGGGAGCTGGAAGCCAACAGCCTCCAAGAGGGACGGTCAACCCCCGTACCCCCCTACCCCCCTACCCCCTAACCCCCCTACCCCCTAACCCCCCTACCCCCTACCCGCAAACATACCCGCAAACATACCCGCAAACATACCCGCAAACATACCCGCAAACATACCCGCAAACATACCCGCAAACATACCCGCAAACATACCCGCATACCCACCCGCATACCCACCCGCATACCCACCCGCATACCCGCATACCCGCATACCCGCATACCCCCATACCCCCATACCCCCATACCCCCATACCCCCATACCCCCATACCCCCATACCCCCATACCCCCATACCCCCATGCGAACCAGCTCTACTCACCGCCTTGGGCTCCCACCCCAGCTTGTCAGCGATGGGGGTGAACAGCTGCATGCCCACCGCCTCTAGAAGGGGCTTCTGCTGCAGTGCGCCTATGAGGACCTCCAACTCGTTTATGTCCCCCGCCATCTGCGCCCATACAGTGTACCTGGACAGGTCAGAATAAGACACAGAACAAGGGCGATTTAGGCCATCTCCGGCTCGCCTATGTCCCCCCCCATCTGCGCCCATACAGTGTACCTGGTCATACACATGGACAGGAAGCACCTATGGAAAGATACAATTGGGTTTGAGAAGGGGCTCCTGCTGCAGTGCGCCTATGAGGATCTCCAACTCGCGTATGTCCCCTGCCATCAGTGCCAATACGGTGTACCTGGACACACAAAGAAACACGGGGAGAAAACATGCATGTGCGCACAGATGATAACAGGAGGATATGAGCGTGCACACGATTGTTTGTGTTCATGTCAAACCCCCCCTATGTGCCTCCCCCACCTCACTTTGAAGGACTCCCATCCTCACAAAGAATCTCCCCTGTTCACACTCACCCATCAGCCCCTTCGCAATGATTCACTCTGTCTCGTTCTTGAACGCCCATGCCAGCTGCAGCCGACTGGCTCGTCTTGACGACTTCCAATCTCACCCCCCTCCCCATCCCTCACACCCTACAGCCCGTACAAGGCACCCACACTACCTGAGCCGTATGAACTCACTCTGTCTCGTTCTTGAACGCCCATGCTAGCTGCAGCGCCTGGCTTGTCTTGATGATGCCCGCCTTGGCCAGAGCAAAGGCGTCCATGATAGAGCCTGGTGTGATGGTAGGGTCGACAAGAAGCAGGGGGGCAGAAAAAGGGGCAGAAGAAGGGGCAGAGAGGGAAAGAGAGGGGCAGAGAGGGGCAGAGAGGGGCAGAGAGGGGCAGAGAGGAGAAGAGTCAGGGAGAAGTAGCCAGAGACAAGGAGCGCATCAGACAGCGAGCAGCAGCGCCTGGCTTGTCTTGATAATGCCCCCCTTGGCCAGGGCAAAGGCGTCCATGATAGAGCCTGGTGTGATGGTAGGGTACAGAGCAGAGGGAAGCAAACAGGGAGGGAATTGGGAGACGGCTCATGAGCCGCCTGGCTTGTCTTGATAATGCCCGCAAAGGCGTCCATTATAGACCCTGTGACGGGGGTAGAGCGGGATTGAGAAAGATTTATACAACCAACAGCCACTCAGCCTGGCAAAGATTTATACAACCAACAGCCACTCAGCCTGGCACTCAGCCTGGCGCTCAGCCAGTCACAATCCACTCACCCAGTCGGTCAATGACGGGTAACTGAAGCGCCTCCACAGCCGCAGGGATCCCCTTCCACTGCCCCTCGGTATAGTTCACCCGGCATATCCCCGTCTGCCCACCATCTCTCTCAACCCCATCTCTTTGCCTCTACCATAACCAGACACACACTCACCCAGACGGTCAATGACAGGCAACTGAAGTGCCTCCACAGCAGTGGAAATCCCCTGCCACTGCTCCTCCGTATAATTCACCCGGAATCTCCCCGTCTGCCCCGCATTTTCAGCCCCCTCCCCATTCAACTGTCAATATTCTTCATGATACTCACCCAGTCGGTCAATGACGGGCAGTTGGAGCGCCTCCACAGCAGCGGAAATCCCCTGCCACTGCTCCTCCGTATAGTTCACCCGGAATATCCCTGTCTGCCCTGCGTTAACCCGCAGCCATCCCCCCTCCCCTTCCGGCACCACAAACCCCTCCGCCTCCCCTTCCTTCTCTGCCAGCACCACCGTCTCCAGCTTCCTGCTCTCCCCTCCCCCCACGCGCCCAGCCATGGCCGTCACAGGCACCCACCACAGCTGAGTATCCTCAGCCTCACTAGGCGCCCCCTTAGAGAGGAACCGGGTTTGTCTGAGGCGGACCCCCTGCTTGCCCGGGCTGGGGGGCAGGATGGAGAGGAGCGGGTAGCCCATCTGGGCCGTCCAGCTGGCCATCATCTCACGGACGGGCTTGCCCGAGGCCTCGGCTAGGGAGTTCCAGAGGTCCTGGGTGATGGTGTTGGCGTAGGCGTGCTTGGACAGGTAGGAATGCAGGCCCTGCAGTAGAGGAGGGGAGCAGCAGAGATATGTTGCATGCATGGCATTTCCAGAGGTCGTTGGTGATGGTGTTGGCGTAGGCGTGCTCGGGCAAGTAGGAATGAGGGCCCTGGGTTGTGGGGCGAGAGGGAACGAAAGTACAGCGTAAGGGGAGTCAGCCAGAGGTCATAACCTAGGCAAGGGGGGTCCAGAGGTCCTGGGTGATGGTGTTGGCGTAGGCGTGCTTGGACAGGTACGACATGGGCATGAGCCGAGCCTGGCTCGGCTCGGCTCGTCCAGGGGTCGAGCCGAGCCGGCTCGCCGTCGAGCCTGGCTCGGCTCGAGTCGAGCCGGGCACCAAACATGCCTGGCTCGGCTCGCATTTCTGTGGGCGAGCCAGGGCTGGCTCGACGGCGAGCCGGCTCGGCTCGACTCGCCTAGCATGCGCTTAAGCCAACAGTAGTGTGGGTGGAGCCTATGCAAGCACGCGTTGTTAAGAGAGGCGCGGGCTGCTTAAGATTTCTCGCGCGAACTAACCTAATGAGATACTCCTAGGCGCGCGGAATTCTAGGGTTCGCGAAATTGACGGGAAGTGGATTGTGAGGAGGAAGAAGGGTGCAAGAGGTTAGGTTGGAAGTTGTAGATGCAGTAGTGTGCAGTGCGGTTGAGCGGGGCAAAAGGGTTGGATGTGTTTTTGGTCGTCAAAGTTTGGGGTTGCGACTGGTTGAATTCGCGAGGTCGCAATGTCGCGGGAAAGAATTCCGCGTCAAACATTTTGGGCGAGCGTTTAGCGTTTACCCTTTAAACGCAGCGTTTAAACGATAAACGCTGCACCGCTAGAGCGATTTCGGGAACATAGACTAGGAGTTGTTGGCGGGAGAGAGAAACGGGAGACACGTTTTGTCGAGGGGGAAATTTACCCTTGAAATCGAGTGGCGAGCCACCTGGCTCGAAATCGAGCCGGGAACGAGCCGGCTCGACCCCGGCTCGACGAGGACATTGTGTACGAGCCGAGTCGAGCCGGCTGGCTCGACCGAGCCGAGCCGGCTCGGCTCGAGTCGAGCCAGATCCCAAAAAGAAAGGCTCGGCTCGTCATTTTGGCGAGCCGAGCCGAGCCGAGCCGGATATGGCTCGGCTTGTGCCCATGTCAAGGTACGAGTGGAGACCGTGGAAGGAAAAGGGGGGAAAGAGGTGACGTGTGAGTCGACTCAAAAGTCACCTCGTTACAATGTCACACAACAGGTACGAGTGGACACCCTGCGTGATAGGAGTCTAGTTTTGAGGCGCCTCAAAACTACAATGTCACACAACAGGTACGAGTGGACACCCTGCGTGATAGGAGTCTAGTTTTGAGGCGCCTCAAAACTACAATGTCACACAACAGGTACTAGTGGACACCCTGCAAGGAAAAGGGGGGAAGGAGGAAAGGCAAGTTGTTCCACAAGCAGCCTATCCCCCAAAGCCATGGACCGGCTTGCCCGAGAGCTTTGCTAGGCAGTTCCATATGTCGTTGGTGATAGCGTTGGCGTAGGTGTGCTTGGACAGGTACGAGTAGAGACCCTGCAAGCAACATAGGGGAAGAGGAAACGTGTTGTCAAATCAACACGTTTGACAGCATAGGGGAAGAGGAAACGTGTTGTCAAATCAACACGTTTGACAGCATAGGGGAAGAGGACAAACAGCTGAACCGAAGCTTCTCTGCGAAACTGAAGCCTCTCTACGAAACTGAAGCCTCTCTGCGAAACTGAAGCCTCTCTGCGAAACTGAAGCCTCTCTGCGAAACTGAAGCCTCTCTGCGAAACTGAAGCCTCTCTGCGAAACTGAAGCCTCTCTGCGAAACTGAAGCCTCTCTGCGAAACTGAAGCCTCTCTGCGAAACTGAAGCCTCTCTGCGAAACTGAAGCCTCTCTGCGAAACTGAAGCCTCTCTGCGAAACTGAAGCCTCTCTGCGAAACTGAAGCCTCTCTGCGAAACTGAAGCCTCTCTGCGAAACTGAAGCCTCTCTGCGAAACTGAAGCCTCTCTGCTAAACTGAAGCCTCTCTGCGAAACTGAAGCCTCTCTGCGAAACTGAAGCCTCTCTGCGAAACTGAAGCCTCTCTGCGAAACTGAAGCCTCTCTGCGAAACTGAAGCCTCTCTGCGAAACTGAAGCCTCTCTGCGAAACTGAAGCCTCTCTGCGAAACTGAAGCCTCTCTGCGAAACTGAAGCCTCTCTGCGAAACTGAAGCCTCTCTGCGAAACTGAAGCCTCTCTGCGAAACTGAAGCCTCTCTGCTAAACTGAAGCCTCTCTGCGAAACTGAAGCCTCTCTGCGAAACTGAAGCCTCTCTGCGAAACTGAAGCCTCTCTGCGAAACTGAAGCCTCTCTGCGAAACTGAAGCCTCTCTGCGAAACTGAAGCCTCTCTGCGAAACTGAAGCCTCTCTGCGAAACTGAAGCCTCTCTGCGAAACTGAAGCCTCTCTGCGAAACTGAAGCCTCTCTGCGAAACTGAAGCCTCTCTGCGAAACTGAAGCCTCTCTGCGAAACTGAAGCCTCTCTGCGAAACTGAAGCCTCTCTGCGAAACTGAAGCCTCTCTGCGAAACTGAAGCCTCTCTGCGAAACTGAAGCCTCACTGCGAAACTGAAGCCTCTCTGCATGAGAGTGTGCGTGGGATTCTTGTTAATGACGGTGTTGGCGCAGGTGGGCTCCGAGAGGTACGACAGCAGACCCTGTGAGGTTGTTCAGACTGTGAGGTGCCTCAAACGTGAGGATTCCCCAAAGGATCGGCTATAAATTTCGATGTGGATTTAAGTGTTCCAGAGGTCAAACCTCAAAAACCCAAAACTGACCCCCACCCGCACTCCCGCCCTTTCCTTATCCACGCATGGATGCACACATGGATGCACTGACCTTGTAACGAGGTGTGCACTGACTTTGATTATCCACGCATGGATGCACGCATGGATGCACTGACCTTGTAACGAGGTGTGCACTGACTTTGATTATCCACGCATGGATGCACGCATGGATGCACTGACCTTCTTAAAAGCATCGGCTCCAATGGCGGCCTCCAATTGCCGGATGACACAGGCACCCTTGGAGTAGCTCAGCGCGTCAAACACCTGATGGGAGGGAGGGGTCACAGACAAAGTGCAAAGTGGTTGGTAAAATAACCCCCCAAAACAATGGGATCGGCTCTGTGAGGGGCCCTTTTGAAGGCATCAGCGGCAGCGGCGGCTTCCAATTGCCGGATGACACATGCGCCCTTGGAGGAACTCAGCGCGTCAAACACCCTGCAGCAAGGGTATGAAAAACAGAGAGAGAGCAAAATCTATTTTTGAGGCGCCTCAGGGAAAAACGGAGAGAGAGCAAAGGGAAGAAAGGCCTTTGACTAGCCTAACGTATAAACCCTCAGTAAGGAGACACAACGTTTGGCTGGCCTTTGACTAGCCTAACGTTTTGAAGGCATCAGCAGCACTACTGGCAACCTCCTGTTGCCGGATGACACAGGCGCCCTTGGAGAAGCTCAGCGCATTGATCACGCAAGGGAATGGGAGGGTGAGGATGCGATGATACACAGCACCGTATTGGTATGCAGACACTTGCCCATGCCCATGCCCATGCCCATGCCAACACGTCCCACTGTCTGGAAAACAAAATGGCGGTGTTCCTCCTTGTGTCCACGCGTCCCTCCCACTCGGGGGCATTAATGTCCACGCCCAGCTGTCTTACCCCATCCCAACCTCCATCCCCGCCCTCATCCCCGCCCCCATCCCAGTCCATCCCCGCCCCTATACGCACCTGCTCGATCTCCTTGGGGTCGTTGATGGGCACTTCCAACAGGGTGAGACCCCAGAAGGGCATCAGTGTGCAGGCACGTGTCCATGTCGTTGCAGGCGAACTGCGTCCACACGTCCCACTCGGGGGGAAGATATAGCCCCATGTCAAGTACAACAGACCCACCTGCTCGATCTCCTTGGGGTCGTTGATGGGCACTTCCACAGGGTGCGAGCCCAAGAGTGCATCGGTGTGCAGGCACGTGTCCATGTCGTTGCAGGCGAACTGCGTCCACACGTCCCACTCGGGGAAGATGTGGTCGACGCCCAGCCACCCCACCCACGTGGCGAAACCCTCGTTCAGCCACAGGTCGTTCCACCACTGCATGGTTACCAGGTTACCAAACCACTGTAGCGGGGGGAGCGGAGGGACACAAGGACGGGAGTGGAAGATGGGTGAGAGAGACAGGCAGGCGGGAGAGCGGTTGATAGGAGTCTCGTTTGGAGGGGCCTCAAACCTGGAAGATGGGTGGGAGGGGCAAACAGACAGGGGGGAGAGCGGTTGTCCCTTCCTACAGGGCGCAGAGGTACATGGAATGGGGATTGTGTGCATATGAAATCAATTTTGTAGCCTCACCTGGTGTGCGAGCTCGTGGGAGATGACGTAAGCCACGCGCTGCTTGGTGGCAGCAGGCGCACTGCCCTCGTCCACCAGCAGAGCCGTCTCCCTGAAGGTGATGAGGCCCCAGTTCTCCATGGCGCCCATGGCGAAGTCAGGGATGGCTGGGGAGGTGGGGGGGAGGCAAGGTTGCGGAAGGAGAAGACTAGAGGAGATTAGGCAAGGTAGAACACACCGAGAGCCGTCTCTCTGAAGGCAAGGAGGCCCCGGTTCTCCATGGCGCCCATGGCGAAGTCAGGGATGGCAGCACGGGGAGTATGGGAGGAGAGGTCCGCCTTGGGCAGAAGGTACTTGATTCCGAAGTAGTCCTCAAAGAACGTGATGACCTTGCAGGCTGCCTCGAATTGCATGTATGCTATGAGGTGACTTTTGAGTCGACTCAAAAGTATCCTATGGTCACATGCGCAATAACGGCCAGGCGCACACTGAACACATACCAATGAGGTCCGCCTTGGGCAGCGGGTACTTGATTCCGAAGTAGTCCTCAAAGAACGTGATCACCTTGCACGCCACGGACAAGGCGAACCTTCCCTGCTCCTTCCTCCCAGGCGTCGTGTAGATGTTCACCTGTGGCACACCCAGAGGTCAGCAGCAGAAGAGAGAGGGTTAGGTTCATGGATTATCACGCTTCACATCAGGTACATGCTCATTACAGGACTCTCAGCAAAGCTCTCAGCAAAGCTCTCACCACACCAGGGCTCTCAGCACCTAATCCCAGTGCACACCACATACAGTCACACCCCTTATCTCTCTCCCATTCTCTCACCAGCATACCGTTGCTGGTCTTGTCCGACACGCACTTAACCTCCCCCACCACGAACGCCAGCAGATACGTGCTCATAACAGGGCTCTCAGCAAACCCTGACCCCAATGACACTCCACTCCAAGTAACCACACCCCATACATAAATACCCCTTATCTCTCTCCCATTCCCTCACCAGAGTACCGTTGCTGGTCTTGTCCGAGACGCACTCCACCTCCCCCACCACGAACGCCAGCAGATACGTGCTCATAACAGGGCTCTCAGCAAACCGAACCACCTCCGACCCGTCCTCCTGCTTCTCCCGCCCAACCTCGTCCATATTGGACAAGCCCTGCAACCCGGCCGGCACGCGCAGGGACACCTCGAAGGTGGCTTTGGCTGCGGGCTCGTCCCAGCAGGGCAGGGCTTGGCGCGCTCCTACAGGCTCGAACTGAGTGGTAACCATCCACTGCTTCTGGCCATCACGCATGTAGGATGCGCCTGAATGGGGGCGCAGAGCAGATGGGGCAAGGGAGGGGCGCTATCAAGCCCTGCAACCAGGCCAAAACGTGGAGGGACACCTCGAAGGTGGCTTTGGCTGCGGGCTCGTCCCAGCAGGGCAGGGCTTGGCGCGCGCCGACTGGATCGAACTGAGTGGTACCATCTCAATACCCACAAGGTAGAACTTGACGATGCTGTCATGCATAAAAAAAAACTCGATATAAACCATCTCAAAAAACCAGTTACAATAGACTATATTGTCGTTGTGAATACCCGTGTACTCAATATAAGCCATACCGACAGTCACTTACGGTAGAACTTGACAGTGTCATGCATGTTGTCATTGTGAATCCCAGTGTACTCGATATAAGCCGTCTCAGCAACTACTTACGGTAGAACCCGACCATGTTGTCGTTGTGAATCCCGGTGTACTCGATCCTGAGCTTCGCAGGCCCGCCACTCAGCTGCTGCCCCTCCGCCAACACGAACCTTCCTTCCTGCCTCTCCTTGTCCAGCTCAACGGCCGGCACGCCATCCGCACCCGCTGTGAGGAGCTTGCCGCCCGTTGTCAGCTCCACCTGGAGGGGAAGAATCGTGGTGCGAAAGAGTAGAGCGGAGAGGACACAGGGGACTGGTGAGGCGCGAACCTTCCTTCCTGCTTCCCCTTGTCCAGCTCAACCGCCGGCACGCCATACGTTCCTGCTGTGAGCCAGCAGCGGAACCCCTGGTGTGAGCTCCACCTAGAAATGGGAACCGTGGAGGAAAAGCAGGGAGGAAATAGTACAAAGGATATCATACGCCTGCCGTGAGGAACTAACTACCAAAGAAGCACCACTCGCGCTTGCCGTAGAAACATCCACGTGGACAGTGTCGGGAATTAGACAGTCGTGGAAAAGACGCGAGGGGTCTATTTTCGAGGCGCCTCCAAAATAAACATCCACGTGGACAGTGTCAGGAATTAGACAGTCGTGGAAAGACGCGAGGGACTTTTGAGTCGACTCAAAAGACATCCACGTGGACAGTGTCAGGGATTAGACAGTCGTGGAAAAGGCGCGAGGGTAATATACGCGACATCGGGACGTGAGCTTGCGAGTGCCATCAGCCGGTAACGATTTGAACTTCTGTCACCAGAGGACATGAAGAGAATTGGGATGGAGTGTTGGAAGCCCTAATGCAGCTGCGGGCAGCCAGGCGTCAATTTAGCATTCCTTCATCGAGTTGGCTTCCATAACGCGACGCATCTACAATTCTCGCCTGACATAGAAATAGATCCAGTCACTATGCGCTTATCTTATGCCTTCCTTTGGAGACATTAAGTTCGATTAAGTTCGATTGCCTTCCTTATGCCTCGCTTTAAAGACATTGAAATTGACTCAGTCGCGTTGAAACGGATTCCGTCACTATCCGCTTATCTTATGCATCCGTTCGCAAACATAAAAAAGAATTCAGTTACAATCCGCTTACCTTGTGCAACTCCAGCTCCTGCGCGTGGAATCGAATCTCGTTCGTCGGCTCGACCACGTCTAGATCGACGGTCACGATGCCCTTGAACTTGAAGGTTTCCAGATTTGGCTCCAGATGAAGCACATACTTCTTAGGCTTCACGGACGTCGGCAGCAGCACGGACGCCATAGTAACGGGAAGGCGTGAATAGGTCTAAGCGATACGGCCTAAGCACAGGAGAGAGCAAACCAGCGACGCCAAACGGATGCGGAAATGCGAAGTCGTGCTGGAATGGAAAGCCTTGACGCCGGATTCCAATCTCGCAAGCCTGAAATTTACCTTAGATTTGAGTGAGATTCAATATTCCAGCCCCCCAGCAGGATTCCAGAATCCGGCAATGTTCAAGTTTGTGCAACGAAAGCCATAATTTCCAGCTCTCGACACCCTTCTCGGGCTGATGAATATACATCGGGGAAACCCTAAGCTAAGTTTCGTGCTGTACTGCTACAATAGGTGTCCGTCGGTGTTTCGCGTGCACACATCACAAATTTGAATGGCATAGTCTGTACTTACGTATGGACATAGTCTACATGAGCTAGATCCGGAAATGTTTTTTCCTGCATGGGCATTCATTACACGCAGTGCCGCGTTCGGGCTGCATCGGAAAACTCTTCGATTGGTTCCAGAAGGAAGAGTCGACCATGCTGGAATCAGGTGGAGGTGACGTACCCAGTGATTGAATCCACACCACGTGTTCGTCCTCCCCTCTTTCTTTGCAACGAAGTGTCCGCTTCATGGGAGACTAAGTGCTCAAATCCTACTACACTAGCGAAGCAGCTGGGAAAATAACTGAATAATATAAAGAAGAGTGCTAATTCGCAAGCTTGTGTAGCACTATGGCTGACACGCGTGTTCACTATTTAGAGCTGCAACATTGTTCCAAACATTCCTTCTCCAACTGCATAATTCCATTTCTGTTCAGTCCTAGGTTGTTCAGGTTTTCCAAGGCTTGAGAAATGATAGATCTATTGCTCCACTCAATCGGCAGCCCACCAACAAATGAAAGAGTACTCTACAAATGCAGAGTAATGGTTCACCAAGTAAGTGAACATAGATCCTGCATTTGTCTACCAACCTAACCATTACCCCTACCCATCACCACCAAACAATATATACCCACCACGGTTCCTCCGCCATATCCCATCCAGCATAAGTGAGCTGAATTCCTAGTTGACAAACCACTCCGCCCTGCCCAAGCCCGAGCTTACAGGCGCTTCCACCACGGCTTGATAAACTCAAACTCGCCCTTCGCACAACCTGCAGGATACGTCGCGGTGTTGAAAATCGCATAGTAGTTCGTAGGAATATGGATCATCGCGTCAATGGTGTCCTTGAGCGTGCCGGCGCCGACGGTAATCGTGCTGGCCTTGCTCCACTTGCCCTTGAACCGGTACTCGTAGGGGATGTACTTCTGGAGGAACTTGAACACGCGGAGCTCGTACGTGGTGTTCGTGTACGTCTGGCCTGCGGCCAGGTCGATAACCACGCTATTGTCGGCCGCGCTGTTGACAGTGAACGCGGTGGGTTCTCCGACCTCCTTCGTCTCGGATTCAGCGCCGAAGCGGATGTTGTAGTCGTCGTCCTTCCTGCTCACGGAATCGCCAGGGTTTAGAAAACCATTCGGTATGAGACCATTCCAAATGGTTTGGATGTGCTGCAAATCCGTTGATGGGGAAACGAACCCTCGGTAACGAAGGTACCAGCGATGGGCACGTGATTTAAGAGCCACATTTCTGCACATGATTTCTTACTTGTATATTGCCATGTAGACATAACCGTCTGACACCTTGCTGGCGCCGTCCACGTGGTCCAGCTCTGCGTAGAGCGAACCCTGGTAGACTCCCAGGAACACGTCGTTCGTGTGGATCTTCTGCAGCTGAGTGCGCATGCCCGGACGCGCGAAACCTGCAAGAAAATATTGCCGGGAGGAAGTAAGTCAGCTTGCACTCTGACGATTCACTCTTCAAATACCGCGACACGAGATGCTGTTTGACATGTACTCGTAATGTGGTTGAAGCAGGAGATGTTTCACGGAGACCTACCTACTGCGGCGAGGCATGCTAACGTGACGGCGAAAATTGCAAGTTTCTGAGTCATGGTGGCCTTTCTGGCAGATTTAGGAAGCGGAGGCTCGAAGGTAGCTTTGTTCGAGATGGTCCACGATGGCTGTGTTGAATGATGTTCTCGAGGCTGAAATGTCGAATTTATGCATTGGGTGAATATGTCATTCCTGAGTGACATTGCGGCACGCCGCATTCCGAGCCGCGCCATGCTGTGTAGCACACGGTCCAGCTGCCGAAAACGCGAAGTGAGATGCCCCTTCCTAGCCACATTTCTTTAGGCCGGTGCATAACTTGTGAGAAAGATCTGAGAGTTTGTGACAGTAACGTAACGATGTGTGAAACGCTATTGACAGTTCGGTTGTGGATTCGCTCAGCACCGCCATCCAATAGGAAGCTACGCCTAGCTCCGGCCTCAACCTAGAAACTGGTCGCGCAATCCCAACAGAATGGCCAACACGTTTTCTCGGTGGAGCCCAACATCCAGTGCCTGATCAATAATCTCAATGGCTAAGTATACAGTGGCCTGATACTCTAGTAAGCTATTAGGGATGCGACAACTTGAAGACAACTCTTACTATTCATAAGCACTAAGGTTCATAATATGTTAATCGTCTTTTGCCTCTAAGACTACGTTGACTGTCATTTCCTTGTCACCCCTCAATACAGTGACGGCGACCTGCACATGCGACACCTCCATCAGCAATCATGTAGCACGGCAAGCATAGAGGCATTTTTCCAACCCGTGGCCCTATAATATGCACACTCACCGTGTCACCCACTTGGCAATCATCCAGCGCCCTGTAGAGATCGGTCCCGCTGCGCACTTTATGGTTATCAATGGCGGTTATGATGTCGCCCAAAACCAACCGCCCAAAGTTGTCTCTAGACGTGGGCCGGAGGCCCTGGAAGATGGGTGAACAAATGTACGGAAAGGTGGAAAGGAAATGAATGAGATGCAAACTAGGGGTGCATGTGGGACAAGTCAATGGCTGGAGCAAGTGAAGCAGGCAGGCATCTTGGGGAAACAAGAAAATAAGATGGCTGCCTGTTTCACTTGCTCCAGCCATTTGACTTGTGTGAACTCATGTCGAGACATGAGAACTCATGTCGAGACATGTGAACTCATGGCTTTGCCTGCGGGCTCTGAGGGAGGGGCATCGAGCTCGAGCACCCCATCGAACCCCAGCTGCTCCACTTCCTCCTCGGGAGTAAAGGAAATCGTCAGGAGAGGCCTCCTGCTGCTCACTTCTCGTTCTCGTTTTAAGCATGTGTTACTAGAGTCGCTCTCAAGATACACTCACCGCTTTGCCTGCGGGCCCCGAGGGAGGGGCGTCCAGCAAGAGCCCGCCATCCACCCTCAGCTGCTCCACTGTCTCCTCGGGCGCAAAGTACATGCCCAGGAGCGGCCACGCGATTACCACATGCATATCTCCCTCAGTATAATCATGCTGTCTGAGCTTACAGCTTCATAATAGATGCCCATCCACCCTCAGTATAATCATGCTGTCTGAGCTTACAGCTTCATAATAGATGCCCATCCACCCTCAGTATAATCATGCTGTCTGAGCTTACAGCTTCATAATAGATGCCCATCCACCCTCAGTATAATCATGCTGTCTGAGCTTACAGCTTCATAATAGATGCCCATCCACCCTCAGTATAATCATGCTGTCTGAGCTTACAGCTTCATAATAGATGCCCATCCACCCTCAGTATAATCATGCTGTCTGAGCTTACAGCTTCATAATAGATGCCCATCCACCCTCAGTATAATCATGCTGTCTGAGCTTACAGCTTCATAATAGATGCCCATCCACCCTCAGTATAATCATGCTGTCTGAGCTTACAGCTTCATAATAGATGCCCATCCACCCTCAGTATAATCATGCTGTCTGAGCTTACAGCTTCATAATAGATGCCCATCCACCCTCAGTATAATCATGCTGTCTGAGCTTACAGCTTCATAATAGATGCCCATCCACCCTCAGTATAATCATGCTGTCTGAGCTTACAGCTTCATAATAGATGCCCATCCACCCTCAGTATAATCATGCTGTCTGAGCTTACAGCTTCATAATAGATGCCCATCCACCCTCAGTATAATCATGCTGTCTGAGCTTACAGCTTCATAATAGATGCCCATCCACCCTCAGTATAATCATGCTGTCTGAGCTTACAGCTTCATAATAGATGCCCATCCACCCTCAGTATAATCATGCTGTCTGAGCTTACAGCTTCATAATAGATGCCCATCCACCCTCAGTATAATCATGCTGTCTGAGCTTACAGCTTTGCCCGCGGGCCCTGAGGGAGGGGCGTCGAGCACGAGCACCCCATCCACGCCCAACTGCTCCACCGCCTCCTCGGGCGCAAAGGAGATGCCCAGGAGAGGCCGCACCACCTTGCCGTTCTCGATGATCTGCTCCACTATGCCGCTGATCTGATGGGGGGCGGGGGGAGGAGGAGAGCGTGGGTGGGGGGGTTAGGAAGGAAGGGGCATCAGACGGGTGGATACAGGGCAGGCTGGATACGAGGTCGCACCACCTTGCCGCTCTCAATGCTCTGCTTTACTATGCCGCTGATCTGATGGGTTGGAGTGTGGAGGGAGGGGGGGAGAGAGGAGGGGGGAGGGGGGGAGAGAGGAGGGGGGAGGGGGGGGAGAGGAGGGGGAGGGGGGTATGAAGGAATAAGGGACATCGGACGGGCGGATACGGGGCAGGCTGGTCACTGAGAAGATGCGCAGAAGAGGCCGCACCCTTCTCAATAATCCGCTCCACTATGCCGCTGACCTGATGGGGGGGGTGGTGAGGGACTGTGGATAGGGCAGTGTGGGCTGGGATGGTTAGAACTGAGGAGATGCCCGGGAGAGGCAGGATGAACTTGCTGTTTGCTATTATCTTCCCCACTATTGTGCTGATCGGAAGGGTTGCGTTGTGAAGGAAGGGGAAGTGGAAAGGGAGATGTGGAGCGGGCTGCATGGATGGTTAGAACTGAGGTGATGCCCGGGAGAGGCTGCACAACCTTGCCGTTCTTGATAATCTGCTCCACTATGCCGCTGATCTGATGGGTTGGAGGACGAAGAAAGAAGGAGCATCAAACGGGTGGATACGGGGTAGGTAGGTACTGAGGGGATGCCCGGGAGAGGCCGCAACACCTTGCCGTTTGCTATTATCTGCCCCACTATGCCGCTGGTCTGATGCGGAGGGGGTCTGG